CGCAATGGCCCGGGGCCGCCATGCGAACCCTGCCACTGGCGCCTTCGCTGGAGCTCCTGTGGGGCCACGGTCCTCGTGAGGGGTGTGCCGAGATGCCCCGAGGCCGCCAGGCGAACCTTGCAACTGGGGGCCTTCGGTGGAGCTCCTTATGGGGCCACGATCCTCGCGAGGGGTGTGCCGAAATAGCCAGCAGCCGCCATGTGAACCCTGCCACTGGCGCCATCGGCGAAGCTCCCGACGTGGCCACGATCCTCGCGAGGGCTGTGCCGGAACGGCCCGAGGCCGCCATGCTACCCCTGCAACTCGCGCCTTCGATGGAGCTCGTATGGAAACACGATCCTCGTGAGGGGTGTGCCGAAATGGCCCGTGGCCGCCGTGCGAACCCTGCCACCGGGGCCTTCAGTGGAGCTTCCCATGCGGCCACGATCCGCGTGAGGGGTGTGCCGAAATGGCCCGGGGCCGCCATGCGAACTTGGCTACTGGTGCCTTCGGTGGAGCTCCTATGGGGCCACGATCCTCGCGAGGGGTGTGCCGAAATGGTCCTGGCCGCCGTGCGAACAACACCACTGGCGCCTTCGGTGGAGCTCCTATGGGGCCACGATCCTCGTGAGGGGTGTGCCGAAATGACCCGAGGCCGCCATGCGAACTTTGCTACTGGGGCCTTCGGTGGAGCTCCTATGGGGCCACGATCCTCGTGAGGGGTGTGCCGACATGGCCCGTGGCCGCCGTGCGAATTTTGCCACTGGCGCCTTCCGTGGAGCTCCTATGGGCCACGATCCTCGTGAGGGGTGTGCCGGAATGGCCCGAGGCCGCCATGCGAACTTTGGTTCTGGCGCTTTCGGTGGAACTCCGATGGGACCACGATCCTCGTGAGGGGTGTGCCGAAACAGCCCGAGGCCGCCATGCGAACCCTGCCACTGGAGCCTTTGCTGGAGCTCCTATGGGGCTACGATCCTCGTGAGGGGTGTGCCGAAATGGCCCGAAGCCGCCATATGAGACCACGATCCTCGTGGGGGGTGTGCCGAAATTGCCCGGGGCCACCGTGCGAACCTTGCTACTGGCGCCTTCGGTGGAGCTCTTAAGAGGCCACGATCCTCGTGAGGGGTGTGCCGAAACGGCCCGAGGCCGCCATGCGAACTTTGCTACTGGCGCCTTCGATGGAGCTCCTATGTGGCCACGATCCTCGTGAGGGGTGTGCCGAAATGGCCCGAGGCCGCCATGCGAACTTTGCTAGTGGCGCCTTCGGTGGAGCTCCTATGGGGCCACGATCCTCGTGAGAGGTGTGCCGAAATGACCCGAGGCCGCCATGCGAACGCTGCTAGTGGCGCCTTCGGTGGAGCTCCTACGGGGCCACGATCCTCGTGAGGGATGTGCCGAAATCGCCGGTGGCCGCCGTGCGAAATTTGCTACTGGCGCCTTCGGTGGAGCTCCTATGGGGCCACGATCCTCGTGAGGGGTGTGCCGAAATGTCCCGAGGCCGCCATGCGAACTTCGCCACTGGCGCCTTCAGTGGAGCTCCTATGCGGCCACGATCCTCGTGAGGGGTGTGCCGAAATGGCCCGAGGCCGCCATGCGAGCTGAACTTTGCTACTGGCGCCTTCGGTGGAGCTCCGTATGGTGCCACGATCCTCGCGAAGGGTGTGCCGGAATGGCCCGAGGCCGCCATGCGATCTTTGCTACTGGCGCCTTCGGTGGAGCTCCTATGGTGCCACGATCCTCGTGAGAGGTGTGCCGAAATGACCCGAGGCCGCCATGCGAACGCTGCTACTGGCGCCTTCCGTGGAGCTCCTATGGGGCCACGAACATCGTGAGGGGTGTGCCGACATGGCCCGAGGCCGCCTTGTGAACCCTGCCACTGGCGCCTTCGGTGGAGCTCCTATGGGGCCACGATCCTCGTGAGGGCTGTGCCGACATCGCCCAAGGCCGCCATGCGAACTTTGCAACTGGCGCCTTCGGTGGAGCTCCATATGGAGCCACGATCCTCGTGAGGGGTGTGCCGAAATGGCCCGAGGCCGCCACGCGAACCCTGCCACTGGCGCCTTCGGTGGAGGCCCCTATGGGGCCACGAAGTGTTGTTTTGGGTGGGTGAAACGCAGGGAAGAGGGGGGAGGGAGGAGGGAGGGAGGAGGGGGAGGAGGAGAGGAGAGGAGGAGGAGGAGGAGGAGGAGGAGGAGGAGGAAGAGGAGGAGGAGGAAAACGCGGGGCGCTGTCTCTTCAAAACGAGGACCCAACACCACAGGATGGTTGGGAAAAATGGCGTCGTTCCTTCTGGATCGTTCCTTAGGTCAGGCCGAATACTGTACGAAGATAACCTGAGTCCGGCTCGCCTCTTCGAGTGCGAGTGCAAGCCCACTGCGGGCCCACGAATCTGCGTCTGCGCCTGCACCCGTCGGGCGCCAGCACTTCTCATCTCTTCCGCCCTCTGAACACGCCCCCGCAATCTGCACGAACGTCGTGGATTCGGTCCGCGCGGATAGTGTTGGCCAAAACGCCTTGAGCTCACTTCAGGCTACCGGTAAGTCGGGCGTGTCCTTCTACAGGAGGAATATTCAGAAATAGTCAAAAAATTGTACGGGGACGATTCTTTCACTATGTTTGATAATTTTGGGGAGTATGTTTTGAGTGGTTTTGGTTTTTGTTCCCCAATTCCCCCTTAACATTAGAACACGTTCCCGCAATCTGCAACGAACGTCATGGATCCGGTCCGTGCGAATATTGTTAGCCAAAACGCCTTAAGCTCACTTCAGGCTACCCGTCTGACAACATCCAACAAGGCCGCCTGTGTTCCAGCAGTCGGTTTTCTCAGGGTCGAAGTGGCCCATGATTGCTCTACCGAAGGCTGTTCTCATGAGCTTCAGGTCCGCCGCGTCGGGCCCCCACTCGCGTCGCCGACAACGTATGCAGGTTCCCCAGCACGAGGGCGATGCAACTTTACCTGCCCACTGCACCTGACTCGAGAACTGGAGCGGGCACTTCTAGAAAAGCCGACGCGCGCAGCCGACGAGGCCGCGGAGGCTGACCCGTCTCCGGCGGCTTCGAGCGAGAGGAATTGAACAGGGGCCGACCGCCCTGCACCTCGCACATACCCGATCTCGTTTGAGCAGCAGCGCATCCCATTCCCAGACATGCGACGTCCTGGTTTTTTCGGGACGGCGCCCCTGGAAGTCCAGACCCCCTTTCCCCGGGGCCGGTTCTTCATCCTGAGTCGTTTGTTGACGGTCCCCGGGGCCGGCGAGGGCCCCCAGGGAACCCAAATACGGAAAGCGTTGCCGTCCCGATTTTTTTTTACGACGCGATCCTGTCTGGGACCTCGCCCGCCGCGGAAGGGCGGCGGAAGGTCCGTGGAAGCAAATAACGAGGCCGCCCGCGCGGGCGGCAGGCGGCGACAGGGTCGGGCCGGACGAAAGGGGGGGATTGGGAAAGGGGGGGTACGAAATTTGCTGCATGCAGCTGGTTTCGGCCCCGCCGAGGGGCCCAGTCCTCGATGCATGGGCGCCTCCGGCGCCGGGAGGCGCCGGGAAACTCAGCTACGTGAGCTGATTCTCAGACCCCCCCTTTTTATCCCCCCCTTTCGCCCGGCCCGATACCCGCCCCCCCCCCGCGAAACTTGTTTTGTTTTGGTGTTGAGAAACATCGTGCCGCTCCAATGTTGTTAGAGTCGCGTGCCCCCATGATCCCCTGGGAAAATCAGCTACGTGAGCTGATTCTCAAACCCCCCCTTTGCTATCCCCCCCTTTCGCCCGACCCGACAGGGCGGCGCGAGGCCGCAGCCACCGCAGCGAGGCCAATTGCTCCTCGGGTCCGGCCCAGACGCTTCGGCCTCCGCCGCAGCCGGGGCCTTCGTGCGGCCCGCGAGCGCCGCGCGGGAGCGTCGGTGCAGGCGCGGGCGAAGTGGCTCGAGCCCGAGCTGCGTGAGACGCGCGGGAGAGGAGGAGAGGCCAGGAGGAGGAGGAGGAGGGGCCGGGAGGAGGAGGAGGAGGAGGAGGAGGAGGAGGAGGAGTAGGAGGAGGAGTAAGAGGAGGAATAAGAGGAGGAGGAGTAGGAGGAGGAGGAGGAGGAGGCGAAGCATGGGGGACGAGCAGAATGGAGGAGGAGGGTGCGGAGGAGGAGGAGGAGGAGGCACGAGCTCCGCCGCGGAGGCCTCAATGGACGAGCGTTGAGGGCGCCAGTGTGGGAGCGGCGGGCGGCGGGTTGTGGTCAGAACCTCCGCGCCGTGCTGCACTCGGGCAGCTGGAGGAAGACGGCAAGGAGTAGTGCTGATCGGGGAGGCAGGCGGAAGGGAAAGCACATGACGACAACAGTTCATACATCAACACGCAGACGTACAAGTACTCATCAGAAGAGGCACGTGCGAGCCCGGGCCCATACACATCGCGACCGGTGGCCACCGATGGGGCTTGCGACACCTTGAGAGCAGACGCAATGATTTGGAGCATGCGGATGGGCACGGCAAAACAGAAGTCACAGTTGTGGAACTACATTGACGACAACCTCAAAAAGCAGTGAGTGCCTTCTGGTAAGTGTTGCGAACTCACTGCGTTATGTCGTGCCCGTTGAATGCGTCAGCATTGACTGCGGAAGAGTTTTAGAAAGGAAGCAATTGAACAACCAATGGTTGTCTTAAACGCTTGCGCAACACAACCGACATCCAATGTGCTGTTGAAGACTTCTAGGGTAGTCTGTTGAAGAACAGATATTTGCGCTTTTGGACCCAGATGTGGCGATCGTCGTGAGGGGTGTGCCCGAAGGTCTGGATGTGGAGCACGGCCCAACGAAACGGCCAGAAACAGGCGGGGGGGCCATCTGGACGAAGGCCCCCCCGTGCCGTGATAGAAAGTTGCGACGCCAGGACAGTCCAAGGGACGATGAGATCGTTACGACGGTAGTTCTAGAAGAGACGGGGCTGAGTGGATCTGCGAGTGGCTCAACCCTGGTGCCGTCTGACCTCTTTGGAGAACAACAACAAAAATAGCAGCGCGCCCACCGCCCGGCGTGGCCAGGCGGAGGCGAGGCTGCAGCAGAGCGCCTCGCGCATGAGCAGCATGGCCATCGGCCGGCTCCGGCAGACGCAGGGCTTTGGCAGCGAGGCCCAGCCGACCGCCCGCCGGCACGATCGGCATCGGTTCGGAAGGACACGAGACACGCCAGCAGCGATGGAGGTAACGGGGACGTATGTTTCGGTATTCTGGGAACGCGTGGCCCATGCTTTCCTACAAATCGCTGAGTCGTTCTCGTTAGATACATCTACATATTGGGAATGTAGGAAGGTGTGCATCGTGATTTCCTACAAGGTGGTTCCCAACATCACCGTTCAGCAATATCGCCCTTAGCGTGGCTTTGGCAACGGTCACGAAGACTGACAGCGCTTCCTGTTCATTTTGAGCAGGATTCGTTGTCGGTGACGCCGCGGACGTCGTCGTCGATTTGAGACAGCAGGCCGCCTTCTCAACAGCGGCCGCTGTCGGTGTTGGGCAACATCCGTTGCTGGGCATCGTAACCATTGGATCCGTACCCACTACGGGCGTCCAAAGCAAGACGTTCGCGCTGGAGGGGGGAGGGTGAGCTCAAAAGCCGGAGGACGAGCAGAAGTCAAGCTGCGCAGACCCCCTCGCGACGTGAACAAATCACGACCCAAGGCTGTTGTTGTCATTACTTTCGTCGGCCTCTGGCGGGCCCTCGCTTGGCCCCGGCATTGTCACGAAACGACCCACGATAAAAACACAAGGTCCTGGGGAATGGGTCGCGACTTCCGGAGTGCATGTTGCGAAATTAGATCAGCGTCGGTCCAAGGAGGAGCTAAGTTCGCGCGTAAGTCTGAGGCGGAGGAGGAGGAGGAGGTAGATATTGAATCGATTCAGTAGCCAGGTCGAACGAGTGAGATGGACCCCGACCATCTCCCATCCTGTCTTGTACAGGGTCTGGACCTGATCCTGGGGATCGGTTGTTCATCCCGAGCAGTTTTCGAAGATTGAGAACTCACTGTCGCGATCTTTTTGCGTCGCCTGCATCTGCTGGAAATCGGATAAACCCCGCTCCTCGGCTTTCATGCCTTCCGCGCCGCAGATGCGGCACGTCGGCTGCCGCTGCCGCTGCCACGACGGCGGCCGCCGTCGAGGCCGCAGCGGCGGTCTCGGCGGCCGTTGCGGCCGCGCCGAGACGCACCTACCGCGAGGAAGATTCCGAAGGTCGAGGGTCCAGACATCCGACGATGAGCCTTTGTCTCTGCGCGGCCCCAGAGGCTCCGGCCCCGCCCCCGTGGGGCGTAGATCCTTTCTGGACGTCCGAAGTGGGTACGGAAAGAATTTACAGTGCCCAACAGCAGTTCCTGTTCATTTTGAACGGGATTCGCTGTCCACGCCGCCGCGGCCTGTGTCCATTCGAGACAGAAGGCCGCCTGCCCAACAGCGGCCGCTGTTGGTTTGGGACAACATTTGTTGTTGGGCATTGTGCCAATGTTTTCCGTACCCATTTCGGGCGTCCAAATCCTTGTTGCGGAGCAGTTTTTGGGGGTTCAATGATTGGGCCCAGGGAGCCGAGATCGCGGAAACATGCCTGGATCGGAAAAGAAACAGATCGTGCCCAGGGGTCCACTGTCCCTCGCAGGTGGTCCGACCAGCGTCCTCGCGCCCCCCCTTCCCGGGCCCCCCGCGCGGCGCCCTCTGCCAGGTGGAGCTGGCGCTCCGGATGCTGCAGGCGGGCTCGCTGCACAAGCTGCTGGGGAGCCTGTGGCGGCGAGCAATCGGGGCGTCGCCACACCTCCAATTCTAGGCTTCAGTCGGGCGTGTCCCACTACAGGACGAGTATACAAAAATAGTACAGAATAGATGTGGGGACGAGGTTTCAATAGCTTCACTGTTTTAAAAATCCTAGCTACGATGTTTTCAAAATCCGCCTGTCGGGGGACATGCCAGACCTAATCCCAGGTCCTCGGCCTCCCAGGTGGGGTCCGAGTAGGGTCGGAGGATCACGCTGCGTCGACGAGGCATCGCCGCTGCGGCTCGATTTCTGGGGCTCGAGTTGCTCCACGCAGGCAGAGCCGGTGCGTCGCCGATGCACTGGCGGCGCCTCGCCGGGGCATCGCCGGTGCAGTGGCGATGCGGCGCGAACCTCCGACCCCATCTGCTCGTACCTCATTTGGGAGGCCTCTACTTACCAACTGCCTGGACAGATAAAGGCCCAGTGTTATGATGTTCCAACCTGCTTCAGCCTTGACCACCAGAAAGAAAATTTCGAGCACCAGCAGAAAGTAACGAAACTGGAGAGTTTTCACGTGTCGGGCCCTGGGAGGCGATGCTCGTTCGACACTGCTTCGATACTGTTCTGGGTGCTCGACATGATTGCTGGGATGTGGTCCTTTAGTGCGATGGGAACAATTCAAGCCCAGTCCCCTCCGCGCCGTTCACGAGTCACGACGCCTTGTCTTGGTTGTCGCAGTGTTCCACCTCTGGGGGCCCTCGCCAGGCCCCAGGACCGTCAGGAGACGACCCAGGGTGGAAGGCTTGTCCTTGAGAGTGGGTGCAGACGTCAGGGGGTCGACGCTGTGAAAAATCATGGAGTCGGGGGTCTGGGGACAAGACAAAACGGAGGTTCTGCCTCGCTTGCGGCATCTGCGGGGTGGGGGCGGGGGCGCGTTTGCATGCTCTGGGGCCCGCGAGGGGACGGTCTTCTGTGAAGGTCCTTTGCGAGGAGCCAGTCCGCGGGACGTTGTGGGGCGGTCCGTGGGGGCCTGAACGAAAGAATCAAGCAGTGAGGAAGCGTCCTGGCGCGCCTCTTGGCCTACCAAACAATTCTCTGAGTACCTGTAGCGGTTTCCACGAAATGTTCTTAGAATATTTCTGGCCGAGGCTGTCTTGTTTCAACACATCGGGCTTGTGTTCTAAGAACATTGTTTCTGTGTTTAGGACATTCTGGGGGCATGTCGTGGTAGGCCTATAAAATGCCGGGACGGTCGGTCCCTGCGCAAACGAATCCAGACGTCGGAGATTCGGGCAGGGTTCCCGTTGGATTTGCACAGTTATGTTGGTCGTGGGGCCTGCCCCACCGGGCATCTCATGTACGGACGGTCCAGGATTTTGCGTCGGCGGCGGGGCAGAAGAGCTGCACCAGCGGTGAGCGATCAGGGCGGCCGCAACGCGAGTGGGCCAGCATGCAGGAGGGGCGGGGAGAAGACAGACAGGGCGGCCGCGAGAGACAGGAGGGACAGGAGGAGGCGGAGGGCACTCAGACGCAGAAGGACAGTCCAGAACAGGCCCAGGATGGAGAAAGTGCCGCGAGAGGGAGCCCAAGGGTCCAGGACCTGCTGCCACCGGGGGACCGTTCCCAGACGTCCGAAGAAGAGCGGACTGGTCCACTCCGGTCGTTGTTCCTCCATTCCGATCTCTCTTGGGCGAGAGGCTGCCCCCCTCCGGAAAGGGGTCCAGGAGCCCTGGGGCCAGGGATGGAAGAAGTCCGTCGTCGTGACAGCATGTGATGGGCCTGTTTTCCACCACCATCACCGTAAGTGGGAGGGTGGAAGGGGGTTGAGGATGAGGAGGAGAAAGAGGAGAAGGAGGAGGAGGAGAAAGAAGAGGGGGAGGAGGAGGAGGAGGAGGAGGAGGAGGAAGAGGAGGTGGTCCCCCTCACCCTCCTGCTTGTGGTGGTGGCGGCGGAAAGCAAGCCCACCAGCATGGGGTCTCCTGCTGTTCGCTGTTGTTGCAGCCGTTGGGGCGTGGGGGGGGAGGGCCTTGTGGGGGGGGCCTGCGTCTGGCCCCTCTGGGGGGGAACGGGGCTTCCGGGGGTTCCGTACATTCCTCCGGGCTGGAAAAAAACACAAGACATGAGCATCCTCTCCTCCTCCTCCTCTTCTTCCTTCTCCTCCTCTTCCTCCTCCTCCTCCTAGTCATGTTCATGTTTAGCTACTCGCCTATCGCACTCATTGCAGTCATTTTAGTGCGTCATGCCACATGTACACTTTCGGACTTCATGCCTTAGCCAGTTCAGTGAAAAGCTGTCCTGAAGAGACCCCGGAGGCCGAAAGCTGGACAGAGCAACTGAGTCCTGAAAGGCACGGGCTTGAGAGCGCCATACGAGTCAGGTGTGGGGGGCAGCTTTCTGCTGAGGTCACTGGCAGGTAGAAGAGCCGTCGCAGAGCGGACAGCCCCCCAAGACAGCAGCGTCTGCCTGCGCACCTTCACGGATTTCCAGCGTCTTAGTTTTTAGGTGTGGTTCAATTGGTCCTCTCTGTGTGCTTGCTCAACGTCTCACTCGTGCCACCCCCGTGTGGCTCGCGTCAGGCATACATGTCTAAATTAGGTTGCGCACGTGTGACACAACCATCGGACCCTTCCCGTTGTTTTCTCCCCGCAGTTGTCCTTCATGTTTCTTCTTTGAGGTTTCGTATGACAAACAGTCTGGTTCCAGAGCTATCTAACCTGAGGCAGGCCGGGCGTGCTTGCGCATCGAGGATGCCCGTTGTCTTGGGCACGCGACTTCCAAGGACTCCCCAAGAGCCTCCGTCAGACCCCCCCCAGGGCCCCCTCTGACTTCTGGGATTCTTCGAACTGTTCCTACTTATCACAAGCAGACCAGAGCGTGAACGCTTTCTGATCCAGCGTTCTGGCATTGGGAGGAAGGAGGAGGGGGGGAGGGGCGGGGTCTGTCTCTTGGCCTCTGCTTGGTGCGACTGTGTGCAACAGTGCGTCCTGCGGGGGAGAGACATTACCTGCTTGAAATAGACGCCAAAAACAGCCAAGATTTACGCCATGGTGATCGTTTGTTTTGTTCCTTGTTTTGCCGATCGGCGCGGGCCCCCCAAACCCCCGTCGCCCCCCCCTCCCCATGGAGTAGATCTTGGCTGTTTTGGGCGCCTGTTTCGAGCAGGTGGAGCCTCCTTCATTTCATGGACGCACTGCTGCAAACAGCCGCACTGAGCAGAGGTCCGGAGCCAGAACCCCCCCCTCCCTCCACCCCCCCCTTCTGCCCAATGTCGAAACGCCGAATAAAAAACACGCTCACATGGGCGGGGGGGTGCAGGAGCCCACTTCGCCGAGAGCCCACGACCCCGCCCGCTTCGTGGCCCGCGGCCGAGGACCGACCTCGCCTCCGCCCTCGCGCCGCACGCGGACAAGGAAGCGCGCCGCAAAGGGGGGCCCTCCCTTTGCCAGAGGCGGCCCCCTGGCCGCGGCGGCTCGGCATCCGTCCGAGTTCGGTGGTTTCCGATTCCGCTTCGATTCGTCTTTGGATTCCGATGTGGAATCCGACCTATCAATGGAAGCCTGGTCAGATTTCGATGGCGTCCGATCCCGACTCGATTCGGCCTTCGGATCCCGACGTGTGGGATCCGATCTCCCCGTGGATCTCTCGGTGGCCGCCGATCTCCGAGGTTCGACTTCGGCTTCCGCCCTGGGACCCGGTGTTGTCCCTGGATGCCTTCTAGCCTGGCGATGCCCGCCGGCTCGGCTTCTCCCGGCTCGGCTGCCGGTGTCCGCCGATCCCCGGGCGGACTTCGATCGCCGCTCCGACTCGTCGATTCGGTTCTGGGCGCTCTTGCCCGGGCCCGCGGCTCCTCCTCCTCCTCCTCCTCCTCCTCCTCCTCCTCCTCCTCCTCCTCCTCCTCCTACTCCTACTCCTACTCCTACTCCGATCAGGGCTGGACCTAAGCGCTGTTTCGCTGAGCTTCGGCTGTGTTTTGTCGTTCGTTCTCGCAGGGAGGTGCAGGAAAAAAGGTAGAGCAGCACGAACGACAAAACGACAGCACGACGAAAAACAACGTTTAGGTCCAGCCCTGGTACCCATTCCGCCCCCCTTTCCCCGTCGCCGCGGCTGGCTTCGCCTCGGAATCCCGGTCAGAACGCGCCCGGGGAGAAGTCCAGGGATTCGCGGTACGGTCGGACCGAGGCAAACGATCGAGGCCAGTTCGAGTGGGTGCGCTAATGTTCTTCGGGTTCGTTGGATGTCCTAGCGCATGCTGGGGGAGGGTACCCTTGGCTGTTCTGTGTGTTTTGGCCTGCGGAGGGCTCGATGCTCTTGAGACATGTTTTTTCTGGCCTAGATCCGACTGTACAGATACCGCTACCCTTTTCCCGTCGCCACGTCTAGATTCGCTTCGAAATCCTGGTCAGAGTGCGCCAGGGGAGAGGTCAAGGGATTCACTGTATTGACTGTATTGGCACCTTTTTGTCCCCCCAGAGGTCTCCCCGCTCTAGGGTTCCCTTCTGAGCCCATCGGACGTGTGAGCCCATTCGGCCGCCGAACGGGTTCAGTTCTCACCGCGGATTATCGCGATCGAGTCCGCTCGGCTGACCCACTTGGCGGCCGAATGGGATCGCGCGCCGAATGGTCTCAAACTGGAACCTTGGGCCATCTTTCCGGGGGAGGCTGAAATTAGAGCTCTATAGTTAGTAATGGCGCGAAAAGTTGCGGGGGCACCTTGGGCCAGGGTGACCTCTGGCACTGGCAACCTCCGCCTTGATTCATTGGCTTACGCCGCACCGCCAAACCCTTGGGGCGGCAGCAAGAGTGAAAGACAGAATTCGCGGAACGCGCGCGATCGCTGGATAAGCTTGGGGTTTCGGCCTGTCCTACGTAGCGTGTGGGGTTCAAGGGGGGGGCTTTGTAGGGGATTGGTTCGAAGTTTTTCGTGGTCTTATGTGAGTTTCTTGGGGCCTTCACGCGGCCTGTCCCAGGCCTCCTTTTCCACTTCCTGGATAGGCTCGGGGATCGTTGAGACCCAGCTGGGGTTGCGTCCGGCCAGATGTTCGAGAGTGGATCCAGCTGTGGTGACGAGGAGCTTCCTGAAGGCCCAGAGGGGGCGGAGAGCGCCCAAGAACTAGGAGTTTCATGCCTCGAGCCTCGATCCACCCCGTGTTCCTCCTTTTGCGAAGGGGTGGCACCTGCCAGGGAGGTCGATCCTCATCCCGGACTTTCGGCGGTGGTCCCCGGCACCACAAACGGTTCCTGGAGGCTGAATTGGAGGAGATGCCTCGGGTGGTCGAAAGACCACGAAAATCTGTGAGACATCGGCGGTGACGACGAAATCTTATTTCTTTGTTTTCCTCTTCCTGCTCTTCCTCCGCCTCGTCCTTCTCCTCTTCTTCTTCTTCTCGATCGAGGTAGTTGCCCGCGGCGGTTCGCACACACATATCTATATATATATATATATAGATATAGATATATGTTACCCCCCCTTAGGGACCTACCGTTTTTGTTTGTTTCTGGTTGTCGCACCGTAAACCCGCCGCTGCTGAGATCCCGATGGCAGCCGAACAGGATTCTAAACATATTCCAATATGATTTAAACAGGTTCGATGAGCTGGATATGCCTTTTAGGCTTGATCGGAATAACATTATGACCCACATCGGAACGGAGCATCGGTCAGAGCCAAATGGTTATTATCGAGCCCGGAGAACACCCCAACGAGACTTTCATTAGAAACCCCGCGATGACGTGATGCCGTGTTCATGACAATGTAGCACAGAATATGCAATGGCGCGGCGGCGGTGACATGATTGGTTCGCAAGCAGTGCGCCCCGTCTGGGTTCCAGACATCATTGGTATTCGTTTTGAACTGCCTACCGATATCCGTAGGAGCACGCAACGGAAAACATCCATGGCAGAATCCCCACACAGTGCAGGCGCACTAACCCAAGCCGACCCCACACGTCTGCCGCGGCAAAGAGGAGGCTCCCGCTTGATAGATCCCAACAATAACTGAAGAGGAGGCTCCCGCCTGAGAGATTCTCCAAACAACTCTCTGATGAGGAGGCTCCCGCCAGAGAGGTTACTACGGCGAGGGCATTGGATAAGGAATCGTTGGGTAAGAAATCCAGGGTTTGGAAGCTGGCGGAGCTCCAATTGTGGATGGGCCGTGGATGTCGCCACCGCCCTCATCGGATGAGGAATCCCCCAAGGTCTGATGCCTCCTGCGCACATTCCTTAACCAACGCCCCCGACGTAATCACAGTCTCTGAGGGGGCAACTTCGCCTGAAAAGGCCCAACAAAAAATAACAAACTGCTCCTCCTTGTCCTCCTCCATCCTCTCGACTGGACTTCGTCCTGGGACTCCTGACTCCTGACTCCTCCTCCCTCTCTCTCCTCCTCCTCCTCCTGCTGCTGCTCCTCCTCCTTCACATAATGGTCGTAACTCTCCTCATCATCATCGTCAACATCATCATCATAATCAGCATAATCATCATCATGTTCGTAATCTCATCATCATCACCATCGTCGTCATCACCATCACCAACGTCAGCATCAGCATCATCACCAACACAATCAGCATCACCATCGTCATCAGCAACATCAGCATCATCAGCAGTACCATCTTCATATTCATCTTCTCCGTCATCATCACCATAATGTTCGTCATCCTCGTCTTCGCCATGTCCATGAGGGTCTTGCATGACAGATCCCCAAAACATGTGAGGAGGAAGAGGCTCCCGCCTGAGAGGTCCCCAACAAACGTCAGGATGAAGAGGCTCCCGCCTGAGAGGTCCCAAAAAAACGCGAGGAGGAAGAGGCTCCCGCCTGAGAGGTCCCAAAACAACGTGAGGAGGAAGAGGCTACCGCCTGAGAGGTCCCCCAAAAAACGCGCAGAGGAAGACGCTCCCGCTTGAGAGGTCCCAGCAAATATTCTCTTGGGAGGAGGCTACCGCCTGAGAGGCCCAAAAAAGAAGCAAACAAGAGGAGGCTCCCGCCTGAGAGGTCCCCCAAGAAACCAAAAGAAACCCAAACACCATGCCTCTCATCCTTGTAACTGTCCCAAAAAACATAAGAAAACCCAAAGTTCCAGAGGAGATGGCGGCCCTCGTCAATGCATCTGGGGCAGCGGCGTCAGTTCTCCTCTGGAACTTTGTTTTTTTTTTGTTTTTTGAGACAGTTTCAAGGCATGGTGTTTGGGTTTCTTTGGGTTTTTTTGTGGCCTCTCAGGCGGGAGCCTCCTCCTGTTTGGGTTTTTTGGGGACCTCTCAGGCGGAAGCCTCCTCCCAACCGAGTTTTTTTGGGACCTCTCAGGCGGGAGCCTCCATTTGACTCTGATTTTTTTGGACCTCTCAGGCGGGAGCCTCTTCCTCCTCACGTTTCTTTGGGACCTCTCAGGCGGGAGCCTCTTCCTCTTCGCGTTTTTTTGGAACCTCCCAGGCGGGAGCCTCTTCCTCCTCACGTCTTTTTGGGACCTCTCAGGCGGGAGCCTCTTCCTCTTTGCGTTTTTTGGGGGGCCTCTCAGGCGGTAGCCTCTTCCTCTTCACGTGTTTCTGGGACCTCTCAGGCGGGAGCCTCTTCATCTTCGCGTTTTTTTTACCTCTCAGGCGAGAGCCGAGTCATCTCACGCGTCTTCTCCCCATCCTCCTCCTCCTCCTCCTCCTCCTCCGCCTCCTCCTCATCAACTTCCTTTTGTGTCTACGTCCTCGCATGCATGGGCGACAAAGGAGAAGCAAAGAAGGAATGCGACGATAGTGAGGTAGGTCCCCAAGGGGGGGAGTACCATATATATATATATATATATATCCATATATATATATATATATGGACCGTAGACGCCTACGGCGAATCACCGCCGCCCCCTGTCTTTGTGGAAACGCCTATGTGGCCGAACGTTGAGGCCAGACCTGCCAAGCTATCGGACCATGCGTTCCCCGAATCGGTTTGGAAAGCCTTCGGGGAACACGTGGGCATCTTGAAGGTCATCTTGGCCGCCTGGAGGCCATTTTGACCCTTTCGGGCCCTTTAGGAGGACGTCTTGGAGGGCTATTGGGACGTCGTGGAGGCCATCTTGAGCGTCTTGGAGGCTTCTTCGGCCGTCGTGGGGGCCTCCTGGGGCCGTCTTGGGCCTCTTGGGCGATATTTGGGGGCCGTCTCGGGCCGTCGGAAGGCCGAAACAAAAAAAGCAAATGTCACAATCCTTCAACAAAAACTCATGGGACATCAATGATTTGGGTCTTTTTGGGCCTCTTCCTGGAGGCCCTCTTGGAGGCCTTTTGGGCCGTCTTGGGCCATTGTAGTGCCATCTTCGGCCGTCTTGGTGGGCCCCTGGCCCGTCCGACGTCGTCGGAAGCCGTTTGGGGGGCCTCTCTGAGCCGACTTGGGGCCCTCTTGGACTGCTCCAGGGCCGCCTGGGAGGCCGTCTTGGG